TTTTCTGGTTAGGTGTTCTTCATAAATTTTGTAGTGACTTGAGTTAGGTTTCTACGAGTTTTGGAATTTCATGATTAGGAGTTAAATTGAAATTGTTATGAATTTTTTTGAAATTGAAACTACAACCAGTTTTTGAAATTCCGGGCAGAATTGTGAATCATGATGTTGGGCTGTTTTTGACGATGTTAATGTGACTATGTGAAAATATGATCAACACGAAACTTGTAGTGCATGTTATAAGCTTTCTCTGGAAGTTGAAATCTTACAATTTGGTGTTTTATTTGATTTTATATAATTTTTGAAGTTGGAGTTATGCCCAGAATTTTTAAAACAGTGGCTGTATTTACGATTGAGATGTATGCTCTGAAATGAGGCCACTAACGTGATTGTTTGTAAAAATGCACTTCTTGAAACTTGTAGCTTTTCTAGTTTAATTTTTGAGATTGTTTGATTTAGAGTATTATAACATGAGATATCGTTGTTTTAGAGAACTGCTGCAAATTTACAAATAGTTGTAGATAATTGAGTTAGCTATATTGTAGATTTTGAATTTTAGTAACATAATGTTTGTAGCTTCGGTTAATGTGCATACACGGAGAACCTGTCAACTGTATGTCTTCATTTATCCACTGCACATATGTTTTGTATGTATGCTCTATTGTGTGCATCTAAATGATTTTATCTGCCTAAGTGTTCTTCATGAAAGTGATAGAAGCCTGAGTTAGGGATATTTTTCAAGTGGTTTCATCATGATACGATATCTATACTGAAAGCTACATGCATTATAAAATTATCACGCATGCTGAAAATTGGTGCAAATTCATGTTTAGGTTTCCAAATTGAGTTGTGAATTTTCAAATTTGCTTTTCGTCAATGTTCATGTATGTGCCCTACGTGACTATTTCCTGCTTTGAATTGCGATCGTGATTTAAATAAGAATTGTAGCCGCATGTCTTAGGATTTATATTCATCTTAAATCATGCTTACATGACGTGTATGTTGCAAGTTATATATCTGATAACATGATGTTGTACTGTGTAAT